AGGTCTTCCCGCTCCTTAAATCGAAAAAAAATTCGTCTCTCTTATTTGGGTAACTGCTCTGCCTGCCTTCGCAACACAGTTGTGGCTCTAATTTTATGAAAATTGCCAGAGTGTTGAGCATTTCGCTTTTACATAATACAAGATACAGACATGTGTGGCTGAGCCTGGGCTAGCCAAGCAAAGGCACACACACCCAGCGAGTACACCCACTCATACCCGTGCTATATCTGCAGCAATTATCTATCAAAAGCAATTGTTGTACGATGCATCTCATGCATCTCCTGCCCATGCTGACTTAATTGCTGCTTTTGCTTTTGATATGCAAAATTATGCACAGTTTATCAACGCTGCGATGCGTGTTACCGATGCGTCAGTCTCCCACTCCGTTCCGTTCCCCTTTATGCCACGGCCATTTTCCGCTCTCGCGATTTCAAATATTGTTTTCCGTCATTTGAGAAAAACACGACAATAAAACCGTATTCGAAATTGCCAGCCCAAAATGCGTTCTGCTCGTTGGTCTCCTAGATTTAATTGAAAATTGCGCATACGCAACGGTGAACGGAAAGCATTTTGTGGACGGGATATTATAGTAGTAGTACTAAATCTGATTATAGCGTTTTTTATTATTAACTACACTTTGTTTTAAGTTGCATATGCCAAAATACATATATTTATATTGAAAATCACTCTGTTTCTTTTTAATGCATTAACTGCAAAATGATTTACTTTGAGGGAATGCTCAAGTGATTGAAAACTCTACTGGAAATATTACATTATTATTTTCTGTTAAATGTGAATCCGTTTTGCATTCCCTGAAAAAATACTTTGCTTAAATAGATCAAGAAGCCCAAGTCTGGGCATATTCTCATTTCTCTTGCATAATAGTTTTTGGATTTCCTCCAGTTATTCCTTCTCGTGTACGATTTCCATGGCCTGTTGCTTTTTTAAATATTATTTCATGCTGAGAAAAAAGCTTAATGTGAAAAACCAAAGTAGGAAAAGGAAAAAACATTATTGGGATTTTTCTCCATTTTCTTTTAAGCGCTCAGTACGCTTCATTTTGCTTAAAGAAAATGCAGATAAAGTTTTTTGTTTGTGTAAAGTCTGTTGCGGTGAAGTGCGCAAAACTCTGCCCGATAGGTTTTTGGCGATAAGAAGATTGTGAAAAGCAAGATTTCATGTGAATGAAACATTTCAATTTGGAATTGGGAACACTTTAAGACAATTTAAGATTAGTTTTCTCCATCCAACTGTGTTCATTTCAAAAGATTGCTCCCAACTTAGACCATTATTTTAGATTTGGAGGAATCAGTACGAGAAATGCCGCAGATGCAACAAGTGGGCAAAGGGCTATAAAATTGTTACGCAAGCCCAACAAAAATTATTTGCGTTTTCTGTTTCCGCAGTAAAATGTTCCTGGAAATTGTGGGCTGTGTTCTTGCGACTGTGGCAGCGCTGACTCTGCGCTCTTTAAAATATGCAAATTTCCTGCTACGCGTGGCATTCCACCAACCAGACCGGTACACTCGGTACACCGCCCGCTGAGCGAGTTTGACACAATTTTCTGCCACTCAACATGTGGCGGGGACGCAGTCCCCGGAAAGTCAAATTCAGAGGGAACAGTGGCCTCGCTGAAAGCTGCTCAAGTGCCAAATGTCTTTGGACTTCAAGTCCTGGCTCCCTCTTCGTAATTTGTTGCAATTGTAAGGTGCTTAAAAAATGTATATTAGTTGAAATTTAATTTTCTGTTTGGTAACTTGGCTTCTTCTTTTTCGGCGTGCACGCTCTTTCGCATCTTTTTTTTTTTACCAGCTGCGCACTGTTTTTGCAGCGAAAGTTGAGCAAGTGGAAATTATGCAAAATACGTGGGGAGCTGCAAAATATTATTACGCATACGCCAGGTGGGCCACACATACCTGCTGGCAGAGCATTCTGCCATGTGCTGCACCAGAGTTTTTTCCCTACATCGAGTTCGACTATGGCTGCTGCCTCGGCTGCATTGCTGTAACTTCAATTAAATTGCATTGCACATTTTTCATGTAATAGATTGGCTGAGCGGTCTGGAGGAAGTTTTTCTTATAATTCAATTTTTCATGAATTTTTGTTCCAAAGGAAATGCCGAATGTGAAACGAAAGCGTGTCTTCATTAGCTGCCTCAAAGTTTATACTCGCAAAATTAAAAAAGACCTTACTGATGAAGCTCTTATTCATTTTTTTCCATTTCCTTTATTTTGGGGTATCTCCTTCATATTTGGATGCCTGGGCAGAGCCAACACTCTTTTTATGCCAAAAACTTACGTTAATGACTTTATTAACTCATCAACATTTTCCACAGAACATTGAACCATTCTAAAAGTTTCAATCTCAGGGATTACATGAGCTTACTTAGAGACAGTTAATTGTTGGAAATGCAAACAACAGGTTCTCTTTTTTTGGGGCTTTTCCAGTTTCGATATACAAATGTAGAATAACTTTCTTGGCCGGCTTTGCTCACATAGATGGAGATCTAAAGATGGGAAGATATGAATTTGAGCGCTTAAATGTTGCCTTAAACATTTTAATGGCCCGGCGTGCCTTGTCCTTTCCTGCCCTTCCTTTCCTGTCCTGGTGTGCCTGCCTAGTCCGGGAGCCAAGTATAAAAATGTCATAAAATTTTAAACAAGTCCTTTAACTTTGTCGGGTACCGCCTTGGATGCCTATGCTGTGCTGGGCCTAAGTGCATTGAGTTCAATTTGGAAACTGCTTCGTCGGCGATAAGCGCCAAAGCACTTAAAATGCTTTATTTCCACTTCAGCTACAAAGCAATTTTATTAGCTTTAGAAAATTACAACAAAGTCTGCGTCGACGTTGTCGTCGGCAGCTGCAGCACAAAATTATGATGACTTTTTAATTAAGCAACGCGAAGGCAACACAAAAACAACAGCGACAAAAAGTTGTCGCCAAGTGAAAAGCGAAAATTTCTGATGAAATAAATGGGTTGATGAGGATGTTTGGGACGGGTGGGAGAAGGGCCCGCACGGGGCTCCAGACAGCTGCCATTTGAGCTACTTGGCTGCTGGCGTGCCCATTGTTTTGTCAGTGCCACGTGATGCGCAAATTCACAAACAACAGCTAACCAAGCTGGTCAAGAGCAGAGACAACAGCAGTCATCTCTGGCAGCCCAGGCACCGAGGCACCGAGGCACCAGCAAAAGTCAGCCAACCATTCCGAGGAACCAAAGATGCAGATGCACAAATATAGATAGAAACCGAGATCCTACTGAGCTGCACTCGAATGCCTGGGCAGAGCGACGCGCTAGATAATGTTGCCCTTCCTTGCCCTGCCCTGCCATTTCCTTGTCATTGTCCTGTAAAATAACTCTGTAATCCCCCAACAGGCCCCGGCTCAAGCAACAATCACATTGCCAGCTGTAAGTAGTTGCACAAACTCTCCTCTGTCCCCGGCTCTCTATGAAGTCAAACAATGAGCATTCATTTGGTGCTGCTTTCTTTTTGTCATTCATTAGGGGAACTCAGGGGCGTGTCTTGGTATCATTTTGTGAGCCATGAATTGTTAGGAAAGCGCTTTATTAAAACTGGAATGCTAAAAGACTAATGGGATTATGTATAGTTCGATTTATTATTTCTTGCCGAAAATAATATACATATGTGGGATAGTTCCATGTTGGATAAAATCCGTCATTTGTTTTTCATCCAATACTCCCTAAGAAATATAACAAATAATTTACTGCACCCCACCAATGATTTAGCTGAAAAATTAAGCAAACTGGAGCTGTCTCCATTCTGTGTATTCGCAGTGCTGTTCTTTTTGTTAAGGAGCTGAAAAAAGGCACTCGCACTCGAGAGCGAGCAAACTGCCAAGCGGAGCAAAAGTTTTTGCAGGCTGACATCCCACTTCCCATCCTTGGTCGTTGTCGTTGTCGTTGCCATGTGACCAAAAAGCGCTGTGAAGCGGAAATGTCAATGCAACGGCACTTGCACTTCCGCTGCCTACTTTTGTGCGTTGCCTGCAGCAACTTTGCCTCCTGCCTCTGATTTTCATGCTCCTCCAGACACGATACCGATTCGGATTCAGTGTCTCCATTGTTCCACAGCGCCTGACCTGCTGACGTTAACACAAAATGGAAACAAATGGAAGCCGATGGATGCTGTTTCCCAGATTCTAGCTAGCAGGTCGCAGCTCCCTGCTCCCATCTGCAATCTCCCACCCCCAGCCAGCATCTGTCTGCTTAGCAAATTTTCGATTATGATAAATGTGATTTATAAAGAGTGAAAGACTGGATAGTGATAACTCGAAATTTGGGCCATAAAGCCCTGTCGTTCCCCCTCTCTCTTTCGATACAGTTTTAAAATTGTCAACTCGGCTCTTTCACGCATCATCAATTTGCGTTTATTTAGTGGCTGTTCGGTGGTGCATAGTTTTCTTAACACCCTGGCAGCTGGAGCTGTCTTTTGTTTGTAGGCCATAAATTCAGCTCCTCCCATGGCATAAATAACGGGTGAGTGAGGCGCACTTTATTTTATCACCATCACCAGTGGCGACTCCTGCTCCAGGACGATGTCCTTAAGCTGCTTGTGCAATTGCCGCATACTTAAGGTAATCTCGGCGAGCGCTGCGCTTACTTCAAATGGCCATTCATCAGACTCGTTGAATGCAAACGGCAAATAAATGGCAACTGTCCCAAGTACTCCACCTCCTCCTCCTCTGCTGTGCCCTGGCTGCTCCTTTCTCCGAGTTCGCCCCAACAATGGCTGACCAGCCAACAATTGTCATAGAAAACTGTCGACTCAGCGCAAAGAGCTGGCAGCGAGGATCAGGTCAGGGGTCTCGGGTCTCGGGTCCAAGAAATGTAATTGTAATTGTATGTAGTTGCCCACTTAGCGCTCTTTCGCTTTAATGCGACTTTTCTTCACAACTAACCCAAATGCCATTGTTCCCTTTGTGTCGCCTAAAATGCTCCTTTGAAAACTATTTTCATCTAATATGAAATTGTTTTTCAGCAATTGTGGAAGGTGAGGGCCGCGAATCTGGATAAAGGAATGCTAATTGTCGCTGCATCAAAAACAATTCAATAAAAGTTGGCCAGCCTCAGATGAAACTATTGGGTGTTCCTGGAACCAGGATATAAATTCTAAATAGGATATTTAATGCTTCAAAAGTTCGAACCAACTAAACGGAGATTTCCTGAGCCAACTAACCTTGGGACCCTTCCGCAAGTACAGCATATGTGTCTGCCAAGAAGACGACCCGGGCACTAAGCCAACAATGCAAACAAGTTTAATCACTCTTTGAGGGTCATAACTCAAATTAGGCAACGGCACTCGGAGGGCTGACAAATAGGCCGGAGAAATGGCAATGGCTGCCTTTAAGCGAACTTTAAGCTGACCAAAATTTGGGTTGCCTTTTGTGAGGTTGTGAGGAGACGCGACGCAGAGGGCGAAGGGCGAAGGGCGGTGAGACAATGGGTGCGCGTCTAGCGGAAAACGGAAGCGAGCACTGGCGGACTGCGGCCTAATGTACAGTAAAGCGAGTACAGTGTCCACTGGGTGGGTGGATAAATGGTCTTTCCATGGGCCAAACGGAAGCTTTCAATTTCAAGCTGCAGTGGAGAGAGTGCAAAAGGAGGAGGACGAAAGCAAGGCGCAGGCAAGTGGCCCAGGACCAGTAGGAAGACCAGGAGCTACAGCTGGAGCTGCGTCTCGACGCGCCAAAGTCTCGGACTGCAGCGCAAAGCAGAAAAAGTAATTTATTTCGTATTGCGGTTTTTAACCACATTTTCCACTTTGTACAACAGCAACGACAGCCGAAAACTGCAGCTACTCTCACTCGTACCCGTACCCGTACCATCTTCATTCCTGTATCCATGGCTATATACATTTTTCCCCGCTCTATGCTGTCTCTGTCTATTTTTCCTTTCCTCAATCCATTTCTCTCTCTCGCTCTGTGTGTGTGTGTGCCTGCCTGCTCCACTTTCTGCTCGATAAAAAGGGCTCAAATGCGGTTCCGTTTTTCTTTTGCCGTTTCGTCGCCTCCTTTTCAGCACATTTCCAGCCATTTTTTTTTAGCTTTGCACAAAATTTCACCGTTCAAATTGCATTTGACCTAGCCAGAAAAATAAGAAGAAAAACTTGCAAGGAGGAGAGGAGTATTTTCTATTTCTGTTTTGTTGGCCACTTTTTTTCACCTTGCCACGCAAATTGCATTACCATGAAGTTATGAGCGACAAGTGTGCGAATGTGAGTCTCTGAGAAGCGAGAAAAACTGCTTTCTTCTCTGGCATTTTTTGAGCCTCTAACCATAAGCGAGATATATGGGAAAATATTTCTTGGGAGCCTTTTTTTCGGTATGGGCTTCCCTTCATAGACAGGCGGCTTATTCTGCTGTTCAACCAGAAGTGATGATAGTTTTTTCTCCCCAAAGACAATGGAGAAGGTTCATTGTTGTTCATTGTTCTCTCATGGAAAATAGTTTTTCATATCATACAAAATAGTTTGTATAAATCAGTATCAATGGGCTACTATTTTTTGGTTGATTATTTAGTTCATCTTTAGATTAAAAGTGGAATTTTGCCTAAGAAATAATTCCCACTTTCTCTTGGCCTTTCAAGTCTTTCAACGGATTGTCCACATCCTTCTAATGAGAAACAAAATAAAGGAAAATTCGAGTCAATTGCGGGTACAATTGCTGAAAGAGCCCCAGCAAACAAAGGCAACCCATTTCATTGGATAATTAGATTTCCCCATGTCGTTGGCAAGGGGACAAGAAAATAGCAGAGGGAAAACAAATAAAGAAAACCATCAAAGCGAAAGGGAAAGAAGTGCCAAAGAAAGCCCATTGATTACAGTGTGAGAAATTGTACTCAACGTTAAATGGAATGGTGTGGCGCTGCTGCAATCAAGCCGTTTAATGTGCAGTTAAGAGCAAAGTGGAGCAGCCATCGAAATAGCGTCTTCAGTCCCAGAGAGTGGGTGTTTGGCTGGTGGTAAAGCAAATTCAATTGCCTCTGACATTGAGGCTGCCAAAACCATGCAAGTGGAGCAAAGAGGGAAGGTGAGCTAATGGCTGGAGAGAAGGAGCTTCTGAAGGAGATGCTGATCGATTTCACGCTTCAAACAGACCCCCAGACCCAGACGTGCTCAGAGGCAAGTTCCCTTCCCAAGTTCCTATTATCCTGTTGCTGGTGCCCTGTTCTGCCATTGACGACTTGACTTTTAGCCGTGACCAGGACTCGGGCGGCCAGGGGTCTGCTCAAGTGCATTAGTGACTTCTTCTCCACATTCTCTTACTTTTCTTTACTTGGTCCTTGGCAACATTTCGATACCACTATGTTGCTCGATTAGCAACACCTCTGTGGTACACGAGTTTGCCATTGCAACATTCCCGCCAATAAGGTAACAAAAAATAGTTTCAGTCCGCCTTTTGTAGGCGAACGATTACGAACGATTAAGCTTTTCAATGTAAAATGCTTGTAAAATCAGTTTACAAGGAAGTTTAGTATGTATAGTACTTATGTAGAATCCATTTTACTTATATTATATATTTATTTATATTTTATTTATTTATTTATCTTCATCCGTATATTATTATATCTGATAATTTCTCTTCATTTATTATTTTTTTAAGAATTAATCTGTGTTCCTTCAATTATTTGATTCGTTTGTTTGTCGAATCATCTTCTGCTTCCAATGAAATTCCTCAATTAATATTCCAAGGATTCCACCGCTTAAGCCACATCGAAAGCATTCATCTTATCCCAGTCATGTTAGCTAAATTAAGTAAATGCAAATTTGTATTTTATTTATCAAAAGAGATTCCCCTCCGGAAAACAATGGCGAACACAATCTCTATGCAAACTCTGGAGGATGCCGCTGAAGCCCGGCCAGGGCAGGGCAGAGGTGGGATGGAGCTGGAGCTGGAGCCAAGTCAAAAATGTTCCCTCTCAAATATTTGCATATTAATGCAGGCATATTGTGTGTGTGCTTTTGTGTGTGAGGCTGTGTTTGCATTATGTTGGTGTGAACTGCTGACCCCTTTTGTCATTGGTGTTGTTGTTGGTGCTGGAATTTTGCATCCTCGTGGCACTCGTGCAGACAGTTCAAACATTTACATACAAAAGTATGAGGGAAAATAGAAAGAAAAAATGAAAAGCAGCCAAAAGGATAAGGGGAAAACTAAAACAAGGCAGAGCATCTGCATAAGAGATGCCCTGTGGATAAGAGTCACGACTTCAAAGAGAAAACCGTGACAATGAAGGCAGTTGATTGAGTCTTTACTCCCTACGAATATACCAACAATATGAAATATAAGGCTACACTTGTTCAACTTCAACTTTAATCGGTGAACGGAATGCCCCATGGAAGGCGAGCCTTCCCTTGTTACTAATTTCCATGAGACGTGACTTTCGAGCGTTTCCCCTGATCAAATCACGGACACACGGGTTCGTTCTCCATGCTGGCCGTCGCCAGTGCGACAGTCTCGCCTCCCACTCTCTCTCTCTCTCTCTCTCTCTCTCTCTCTCTCAGAGTATCTCTGCGTGTGAGTGTGTGTCCCTTTCGGCATATCCTTTTGTAAATTGTTACATTTTCGCACGTGTGAATGTTTTTTTCTCTCCTTCGCTTTGGACCTTTGCCTAATGCGTCTGCTTCGGTGTGCGAGTGTAAATTGAGGAGCTTTGGCTGTGCTCACCTTTTCCCATTTCTCCTTTCTGTTCCTTTGTGAACATTTTTGCATCTCCAAGTGTGTCCGGCTGTATGTGTGCGTGTGTGGGAGAGCCATTAGGACACTGGCCTAAAATGAATTTCCATGTGTTTTAATGGACTTTTCGGGTTAAGTCGGATATCATTTTTCCTTTGCGCAGACTGGAATGGAACTCCTTAATTGGTTAGGTGGCCGAAAGAAACTTTTGTGGCTTTTACTATAAAAACAAAGTTTGGAATAAGTATTAGAGACTAACAGAAGGAAAATCCATACAAGAAAAGTAAAGCTCTCGAAAAGGACATTCTTTCAGCATTATATTCCGTATCTTTTTTTTTTCTTATCACCCCTTTAGCACGGTTTCTCTCATGAATAAAACATTATGAAAGAGGATTTTAATATTGTTCTACCTTAAAGGATATCCATAGAATCACAAGGAAACCAATATTTGTGTGTCTGACCTGGCAGAAAATATCCGGATTTCCATAAAATAGAACAAGAACGAAAGCTAAAGTCAATGTTCCGACTCCAAGCTACCCGATACTCGGCATAAAATAACTACAATATTCACGGATTCCGTGTACAATATCTAAATATAATTTCGAGCCACTCAGCTGGCTAATAAGGTCTGAGAACCGCAAAGAAAAATGAGTTTAAGTATTCCAATTCCACCTGTGACTAACAGGACTTTTCCACGCTCAGGGGTTGCAAAAGTATGCTGTGATTGAAAAAAACTCCAATTGCAATAGAATATACCCTTGTTATCTAAGAGTACCGGGGTACAAAAACCAAGTAATCGTAGACACTATCGAAAGCCCAGTCCTGTGTAAATATGCAAACTTTCTGCTGTGCTTCATTCCCCATTCGAAATGCAAATAGCAGAGGGCCATACAGCCGAACAGCCCAAAACAGCGCTCCCCGGAGGAACTCTAATGGCGAACCTCTGCGGGCCATGCATAGATGGTAGAGGCAACCCAGTAACAATTGAAAGCATAGTTCGCTCCACTCGTTTTTCCCCTAGGTAAACGGGTTGAATAAAAATTGAGAGTAAAACACACAAACACACACACACACAGCAAAAGAAAGAACAAAGGGAACGAGTGGCAGTGGCATCATGAAAGTAAACTAATTAAAATGAAATGAATTCGAAAAGTTCTTCGACATTTGGGGCTATAACTTAGCATTAATGCAGCCAACGAAATTCACTAGCAGTTGCGGCCCACCGCAGAATTTACGACCCTAATAATAGTCATGCAAATGGTAGAATTCTAAATTCGAGTAATAAAATTAGGTCCCACAGTCGAATGGTTAATGCTGT